AATGGCCGGAAGAGTTAATTCGGGGTGAACAACAACGAAGCTCCTTACCGATCTAATCCGGTGATGGATAACGGTAAGGTGTCCCGCGTTTCAAGCAGTCCCTCTCTCAAGGTAATGGGAACACAAGGTAGCGGAGTTCAGGGGAACAAGAATTCCCCATTGCAGGATCGGTCCGAAGCTGCCAATTCCCAAGAGGAATCCACAGTTTCTGAACAAAACCCCAATGGAGATTCTGGCATCAAAGCTGCAAACGATTCGAATTCAAGGAAAAGAAAAGCAGCATCAAAAGGGAAAGGAAAGGAAACTTCAGTATCCCCATCACCAAATACTTATACAAAGGTAACAGTTAAAACTCTCCCAACTTTATATTTCTGCTTCTGTAGAGATTCTGGGTTGAATATTTGTCAAATTATCCCATTTTCAGGTATCTGAAACTAATGAAGATTCAAATCCCAAGCGATGCAAGCAATCCGAGGACGAAAATGGTCCTACTAAAGCTGAAGAAGAAGCGAAAGGTAGTAATGTGGATGAGAAACAGAACAAGGCTAACACAAAGCCTCTTGACTCCTGAGCCTCCAAAGGACTATATTCATGTTAGAGCAAGAAGGGGTCAAGCCACCGACAGCAATAGTCTAGCTGAAAGAGTGAGAAATCACAACTCAATTAGAACATTGAAGTATTCCAGATTTTGTATTGAAAACTGAATCTATGTTAATATTCATCAATTGGACAGGTTCGAAGAGAGAAAATCAGCGAAAGAATGAAGCTTCTCCAAGATCTTGTTCCCGGTTGCAAACAACCCCTGATGAGCAAACCGTTAAATGTTAACGGAAAGGTTAAGAGAGGGGCTGCTTTGCCACCAGTTGGTGAGTTGAGGGGTTGATTTGCCACCAATTGGGGTTGAGGGGGTGATTTGCCACCAGTTGGTGAGTTTAGGGGGTGATTTGCACCTTTTGCCTATTTACTCCTCCCCGGAAGGCTAATTGAGATATGTTACCAATCCAAACTCAAAATAGGATGTTCTTATCATGTTCCTTTAATTGCTTAAGTCTCTTCTCTTAATTTAATTTCCTTTGAAGTAAAACAGTTTGGAAGATATATAGGACTAGAGTATATATGTTGATTGGTGTGCTTAGTTTGCTTAGTTAGCCATCATTTTTTTTTTTTTTATGCTAACCCAACCCCCCGTATGCAGAAATGGGCACCGGTATGCAGGAATAGATACCGTGAACTTGAATCGAGTCAAGTTGGACTCTAAAAGAGAAGTTTTTTTAGTGTCTATTTTTCTATTCATAAAAATCAAACTCAAGAACTTTGCTAATGGGAATTGAGATCTTTCTATTCAAATCAACATGTCATTGGTTAGTTAATCCTAATTTGTGAACTATAAGATGTTGGATGTTGGATGTTGTCTAGTTTAGGTTTACTCTTCAAAACTTAATCTTCCAAGTTTATTTATATAGATTTTTGAGCTTATGAATCCCTTTCTTTTGTTTAAAAGTTTGAATTAAAGAGTTTTAACTTAAATTATCATGTCTAAAATATTTGTATTGATTTATTAAAATGATTTTATCATTAATATAAAAAATTTTCATACACTTATATCAAGTGTTTTAATTTACGTGCGCTCTCCACCCCCTTTTCCCACATTATTAAACTACTCTTTCTAGTAAAACAAAAAAAAAAAAAAAGAAAAAAAAGAGGGGACTTTTTTTTATGAAGTTGAATAATTGAGAGAATAAATGAAAAGTACCTTAAGATCTAAATGATGAAGTATTAAAAATAAAGATTAAAACGAGATGTTCCTTCCATATATACTTGTCATGTAGCCATCTATATGGCACAGGTGCACAACATCTATATGGTCCCAAACACAACCATTATAACATGATATGGGGAGTGTTATTTTATTTATTATTTTACTTATTACCAAGGGAGATGACTGAATTGATGGATTATTCAGAAACAGGGCCAAAAACGAACCCCAGAACCGGGTATATATTTACTCCTCCCCCGCAAGGCTAATTGAGATATGTTATCAATCCAAACTAAAAATAGGATGTTCTTATTTTGTTCCTTTAATTGCTTAAGTCTCTTCTCTTAATTTAATTTCCTTTTAAGTTAGACAGGTTGGAGGACATATAAGACTTGAGTATATATGTTGATTGGTGTTCTCAGTTTGCTTAGTTAGCTGTAATTTGTGAATTATAAGATGTTGGATGTTGTCTGGTTTGGATATACTCTTCAAAGCTTAACTTTCCTAGTTTACTTTTATAGATTTTTGGGTTTATGAATCCCCTTCTCTTGTTTAAAAGTTTGAATTAGAGAATTATAATTTAAAGTGTCATTTTTAAATATTTGTATTGATTTATTTGAAGTGATTTTATCATTAATATAAA